TTGCTAGAGTAATGCAAAGAAGGTAATTAAGTGTAATACGAAGCCTGAAAGCTCCTTCAGAACATGCTGGAGCCAGAAGGTAAGAGGATCAGAAGATTGGATGCTACGCTGAAGCAAAACTTCTAATCTAGAGTTTTCAAAGGTGAATCAAATAAGGTTACTGGAAAACCTGGGGAATCCTTCAAAGTATGCTGAGGCAACAGGATACTAAGATCAGAAGTAGGATGTTTTGTTCTAGACTACGCTGAAATGGAACTTCTGATCTAGAATTAAGCAATGATGCAAAATCTCACATTACATGATTTCTGATTTTGACAAATCTCATCATCATTTAATGGTCATTAATGCTCACAACCACTTTTGAGTCTCTGTCCAAAGGATCTCTCCACGTGTAGTGTAGAAATACTTTTGTACAAAATTAGGTAAGGGTTCATGCGCTACCTTTTGCTCGTGGGTTCACTTTTCCTTAATCCCTGCTTGCTAATCCAGCCTAAGCTAAAAAACGGTCAACTATCACACCTTTTTTGGATCTTGCTTCAAGAGCAAGTCCGCATCTAGCGTATGATGTTGGCGCTATTTGACATTTCAAACACACAAACACTTTTCCTATAAATAGAACACCATTGGTCATTGAGAAGGGGCCAGAAAAAAATTGGTGAGAGAGGTCAAAATTTTGAGAAAGAAAAGCCTTGAATCCCTGTCAAAATTCTAAGAGTTCCAAGAACTGTAAACACAACATATAAAACCACGTTAACTTTTGAAACTCCACTTATTCTCAATTATTCCTTGACTAAAAAAACATTTACACAATTTCTGATCCACACGTTGGAAACTGCCTAAACTTCTGTGTTCATACTTTCCATCCACCCACTCAAAGAAATCAAAACATCACCTCTTTGCCATCCCCAGAAGTTGAAAACTTCTAGCTTACTGAGTACGCGAAGAATCTGTTCAGAGCTTCATCAGAGTTGAGGTTAACTCCGGTTCACATAACTTCTTCCAGTTGCAAGGTAAGTTTCTACTGACCCTCACCACATTACTTAAGCATTACCAGATTTACATACTCAGATACAATGTAGATATCAAGTTTTTGGTGTCATACATATTCTGAGATTTCATGCCTTATGTCTACCTAAGTAGGGAATAAATCAGTTCAGAACCTCTTGAAGGAATTAAAACTCAGAATTAGGATCAGCAGATTCATACGTGCCTCTGATTTGTAGTTCTGATATTTCCTATTTCTGAAACGCTATGACACCTGCTATAACTGTTCTATGCATGTCTTCTGTTTTGTGGAGAAATAACCAAATTACAGATATTCTGACTAGCATAGAGAGGGAGAGACCAAGTTCTGCCAGTGGTATCAGAACTTCTAAAGCTTGTTTTATTGCTAGTGGTCTCAGAAATTTTGAAGTCTGTTTAGTTGCCAGTGGTATCTTAACTTCTGAAAACTACTGTGTTTCCAGTGGGTTCAGAACTTCTGACCTTATACATTTTCACTAATAGGTTTATGTTTTGCAGCGTTCCAGGGTCAGAACCTCTGACTTCATTTTTATCAGCAACACGCTGATTCTTTTCCCTTTTTATTTATTATTTTGCTATCACTCTCCATTCCATTAATCAGCAAGCATAAAAAAAAATATTTCCTTCACACTTTATTTTGATTTCTTAAAACAAAAGACCAAAAATATTTTCTTAAAAAACAAAACAAGTTCGTTTTCACATTTTCTTGTACATTCTTATGCATTTCAATATGGTTGTAATAGTAACTTAGGACTTATTTTTACTTGCAACCCCCATTCATAAATATGTATCCCCATCCCCTAAATATTGTAATAGCGTAGGACTTTACATTTCTGCAATTTATCGCTTTCAAATGTAAATGCTAGTAATTAGGCGTGTATGGCAAGATAAAAACCAACAAGTAGACCACCAAAAATCAAATACAAATGCATGCAATCAAACACACTTTCACACATACACCCTTAGGGTAATTCCACTTGTTGCCTTACAAAAATGGCCATGTTATTCATGTGGGATGTCTTAGCACAAACAAATCTCGAAATATAAGATCATAGTCCCTCGATGATGCTATCAAAGTTTCCTTTCAAAATGATCTTAGTCCCTAAAAGAAAAGTGCTAAGTCATCTCACAACATTGCCATCATGGTCATACGATGACCCAACACCCGTCCCTTCGCATTCAACGATGGGGCTTCTTATCAATTCGATGGTAAAATAACAACATCTAAAGAAGGAGGAAAACACATATAAGACCTTTTGAGTAGGTAGATTACTTTTAGTTGCTTGCTCACTCTCAAAACAAATATCCTTGCTATTTTCAAAACAATCACATACACTTTTCAAACATCTTTCCAAAACTTAAAATATTTTCAAAAAGTTCAACACTTTGTATACATTCCTACGAACGGGAATCATTACAAAATTTTCCTAAACGATGACACCTTTTTCCAAAATACTTTCAAAAAACCACACCACAAGCACATTCAAACAAAAAGCAAGTGATCTAGAAAGTAACTAGATCCCATGGAAAACCATGGATGAAAAGGGTACTAATACCTTCCCTTTTCATAATCTACCCCCCGAACTCAAGAAAATATCTCTAAAGGTCTTTCCTGTGCTTTTTCACCTTTCCTTTTTGGATAAAAGAAAAGTCGGTGGTGACTCTTGCTAAACCGCAACATTTGCGAACACAAACGCAAAACCTCAAGTCAATTCTCCCACCGTATCACACGGAGCCACGTGTGTTCATAGATTCTTGAGAAAGAAACTCTAAGCCCCACCAGTTTCGCCCTCGACTAGAGTAAAGACAATTGGAAAAATGTTGTTGTTGCCATCTTGTGAAACTGCCATCAGTAAAGAGCCTTTGTATTTCCCGTACAACCATGTTCCATCTATCCGGATAATAGGTTTGCTTGATGCAAACCCTATAATGCAAGGTTGAAAAGCCCAAAATATTCGACTGAATATTCCATTCCCATTGACAGAAGTACTGTCTGGGGCATACGCCGATAATGTTTCCATAATATAAATAGTTCCAGGGGAATACGTCTAAAGTGAACGCATGTAGTGTGGTAGTTCTTTGTATGACTCCTCCCAGTTTCCATATACCTTTTCAATAGCCTTTTTCTTTTCTAACCAAGCTTTTTATGTATGACGGAGTATAATTGTATACCACAGTGATTTGAGAGATTATGGTTTTCACCTTCAATGACGAACCATTGTTGATGAGTGGTAGGATTTCCTGACATATTAGATCATAACTTAATTTACGATGATCTTGTGATTGAGTAGAATTAATGCACATGTGGATGGATATATAACCTATCACCCAACAACCACTTCTCAACCTGTATGATGCAGTGAGCCTGAACATACAACTTGTGTGAATACACTTGAGCTTGTACCTTTCGGGATTTACCCGATCAATCTTAAAGTTGACAGAGTTTACCATGTGAAAATTTTTTATAGATCGCATGCAATCTTCTCTTGAGCGAAATTTGTCGTTCTCTTTTATATTTTCATCTGACTGCATATACAGGTTGAAAAAAAATTGACCGACAGTTCATCTTCGGCCATGTTGAAGTTTGTCATGTGTGTAGGTGATGGGTAGATTTCATTTGGAGGTATTTGAGTTGCCGCATCATCTTCGGAATCATCGTTAACCATGTTGTCAAACTCTAACTCTTCATCTTCCTCTTCTTCGTCAACGACATCTGCTTCTGCTTGTTCGTCTTCGAGAGGATCAACCACTTGTGATTAAGTTGGTTGGGACCCCTGAGGCTCCTGCAGCACAGAGTGTACAACTTATTCAAGTCGTACCCAGAATACTCATGTCTAGAAAATAATTTTGAAGGTCCTCGTCGTCTTGAACCTCTATCTTATAAAAATTCACTTAGTTCTCACCAAAAACTTGAATTTGGTAGAAGATGTATGACACTTGACCTCGTCCAAGTTTGATCTCTAGTCGTTTTTTGGAATACAAGATATTGGTTTTTCTGTTTAAACAAAAACGAATGTTATCTGTGTTTCTAAATAAAAAACCAGAAGTGGGACAATTGTAAGTCTCTTTATTGAAATGTGCACTGATAACATATTAAGGTGCAAAGTACATTGTGTTTGAGTGTTTGAGTGTAGGAGACTAAATAAGATTCATGTAACTTGAATAAGACAAAAAAGCTCAGCCTATCAGGAGCCCTCTGAGATGGCGCATCCTCCTTATTTTGTTCATATGCGCCAACTGGGATAACGCATCCCTACTAGCCCTATCAACTAGCTTGCATGCGCATCAGACTGTCCCAATGCTGCCATCATACACTGCCCATACGCTGCCACCTACTCTACAAGGTGGTCTGTCCCACGCCAGTTTGAATGACGCATGCATTAAAAAATGCATGTTGTCGCCAACTTGAATGACGCATGCGTGACACGTACAATGCATGCATGCAACCTCCGACCACCTAATTAACTCACATATATACGGATTCGCCTATAAATATGGCACCTCATATACTTGTTTTGCATCACCAATCCACACACTCTCTGATACTTGTTTTACAATGTCTTATACAATTTCAAATATGATTCTCCTAACAATGAGCGATTCTCACAAAAATACAAAAACAAATATTGAGTCATTTGTAAGTTTTTATATTATTTTATATTATACAATTATTAATTCATTCATCTTAAAACTCTAACATTATTTATATTTTGAATTTAAGATCCTAAAAAATTTAGAATTCACTCACACCACTATATTGAGCCCAACCCGTTAATCATTTCATATCTAGAATATATCAGTTTTGAAAATGTAATAAAAATATCAAACTGCAGAATTGATTCAAAATTTATATTTACAATATTAAAAAGATGGAGACCTAAAACACATACATTTCATCTAGCATAAACCACCAACTTATTCTTATTTAATTTATCTAGTATATATCAGTTGTATACTTCACTTTTAATAACTAGTTCTCATGGATACTCTTCACGGTCTCCATTTTCAAAGCCTACGTCATGTCTTTCATTTCCTCCTTTATTTGCTACTTCTTCTGAACCTCCTTTTCTTCCTTTTCTACCTTCTCTTCCGGGTCTTCCCCAACCTCCCCATGTTCCTGAACCTACCCAATCTATATCATCACTATGTCCTCTTCCCAACCCTTCGTTCCTATCTATCCAAATTTTTGTTTTGGATTCTTCAATTGCACCAGCTGCAAATCAAACAAACATGTTTGTTAAATAAAATAAAAAACAAAATAATTGTGTTTAAAACTTAACTACATATGTTGTTTCTCACATTTTAATGGGCTTATTGCCACAACAGAAAGGAAAACTATTGCACAAGGAAAGAACATGAAGATAAAAGGCTTGAACTTCATCCTTAATCTTCTAAAAGGTTAATTGTAGTCAAGTATGAACTCAGTATCTATTTATAGTGATAATGGTTAAATATTTAGTATAACAATGAATAAAAATAATTCAATAGGATTAAATATATTTTTGATTTCTATAAAATTATCAAATATTATATTTCGTTCTTATAAAAAAAATCAAATGTTTTGATTCTTAGAAGATTATTATATATATATAAAACGTTATAATCAATAATAGTTTTAATCCTTCTTATTAAATCAATATATATTCTTGAATCATTATTTATACATATATTTAAAATATTATAAAGTTTTTCGAAAAAAAAAACTTAAAATTTGATTTTAAATCGAGATTTTCATTACTTTTATTATTATCTTATGAAATTTAAAAAATTTATATTTAATTTTTTTTTTAAATTCTAAAATTTGGTAGAAAAATATTTTCTATTATTATAAACTTGTATGAAATAGATTATTCAAAAATTTTAAAATTTTAAAATAATAATTTAATTTTTAAAATTTTAGAAAATAAGATAGACTAAAACTGCGTACATATAATTTTTATGAGAATTAAAATATTTTTTTTATAAGGATTAAAAATAAAATATAAAATATTTATAGGAATCGAAAATATATATATATATATATATATATATATATATATATATATATATATATATATATATATATATATATATATATATATATATATATATATATATATATATATATATATATATATATATATATATATATATATATATATATATATATATATATATATATATATATATATATATATATATATATATATATATATATATATATATATATATATATATATATATATATATATATATATATATATATATATATATATATATATATATATTTGATAAATATTTATCTTATAAAAAATTTATTATTGAAAATTTTTAAGGTACTTCAAACAATTGAAAACTAAAATAGAAATAAAATAATAATAATAATAATAATAATAATATGCATTTCAAAAGAAATTTTTGATCCACTTTTTCATATTAATTAATAAATATAAATCAACATTATCGTAAAAGATTAAAAAATTTGATCAGATGTTTACAATCTTAACTAATAATATAAATGTAATTGCCACTAAATATTTGGAGAATCATTCTATCATAGGTGAAAGCCTTTTATAAAAAGTAATATTTTAAAAACTGAATTGAAGGAAGAATCCTTAAAATATGAGAATTAAGGTTTAATTGGTTCAATTGATTAAATCGTAGTTGAATCGTATATTAAATTTAAATTAAAAAAATAAATAAATTAATTATTAAATATTCTAATAAAATTAATTTATATCATAATTTATAAAATAAAATTCTCAAATAAATATGATACTAATAAACAAGCTTATAAAATAAGAAGAATGCAATATAAGATCAATAGAGGTGAAAATAGACTGAGCCGAACTTGCCTTTGCCAAACCTAAGTCTGGTTTGTTAAAAAAACAGAAGTCTAAGTTTGACCTGTAGTCTGTCGTAGGCTTATTTTCAGGTCTGAGTCTAACCTTTTCTAAGACCTGGTTAGACTCTTAGCCTACATAAAATCTATTATTTTAGACATACGTAAATAAGAAATTTAAATAATATTTAAATTAACTAGCAAACTAAAAAACCAATGAGATTAAAAGTTTGTTTGTATTGATTTATTTTAACTTACCAATTAACATAAGTTTTGTGAGACTATTTATTTAAGATGACATGTCAAAACAATTTATAATATTGTTCATAAGATGTTTTCATCTTATTTTCATAAGTTCTCCACGATAACCAAGTTTTATTTATGCATTTTGAATCAAAATACAAAACATAACATAATGATAGTAAAAAATTATTCATATTTATTTATATAGGTTGATCAATTAGACTTAAAAGACTTTTTTCATGGTCTGAGACTTAATTTTTTAAATTAAATAGACTTATAAAAAAGTTTAGACCTAGGTTGAGCCTATGTAGAATAGTTCGTACCCTGAGCCTATGTAGGCTAGGCCGTAGGCCTATGTTATCCGCCTGATTTATTTCCACACCTAAAGATCAATAATAAATCAGAAAATTAATTAAAGACTAATATTTATATATTTTTCTCTAATTGCTTAACTCAAAGCCATAAGTTCTTCAATAATATAGTTTTTCACATTTTTTCAAGACCAATATCAGTTACTCAATTTCCACAAATATTATATTATTTCTTCTTTTTCTATTTGCATTTATGTCTTATGTCTTCTAATTTTATTATTTATTTTTCATCTATACAATTTTAAATGTTTGTTATAATTAGTTTTTTAGATTTAAACAAATAAATAAAATGAAGTAAAACATAAAAAAAAAATTATCTTTGTTTTTTGAACCGTTTGATTCACCAAAATCGATTTCGATTTTATAGTTATTTTGATTTTTTTGCAATTGAAACAATTTTATTTCAATTTTATAGACCTACTTATTGGTCTAAACCGAATCAGATTAGACAACAGTTTAACGTTCAACCAAACGGTTCAATCCGATTTTTAAAATATTGATAAAAATGGTAGAGAAGAAAAATGTGTCATTACATAATAATGACTCACACAAAAATAATTATGGTATTTTATTGACTCTTTATTTTGTTTTTTAAAGGATCAAAGTTATGTTTTCTCATTTATTGTATTTTTTTCATTTTTTTTCCGTAGAAATTTAAACTTATATAAAAAAGTGGGAATTTTCATTTTCGAGGCCTTTAATTTATCAAAGAACGAAAGGAACAGCAAAATTTCCAATTTCATGTGTCAACGCTATTGTCATACTCCAATGTCTTATCTTGCTTTGATAAAGCCACTTCCAAACTACAGTCAATGACCTTTAATGTGATCATCAGTTTTACCTTATCAAGGATGTCTCTAGCCCTGTCTTTTTAATATCATTCTTAGTTGGTGAAAGGCAAGTTTCTTTGGTTAATATCATTAATGAAGGAAACTTCAGTTTACTAAATAGTTATTTGGAGGTAACCCTCCACGCTTTGCTTTCTAGAAGAATTATTGCCTCTTAGGCTGTAGATGTTTGAGGTAATAATAGGTTTGTAATGTCATTAGATGTTTTAGGGCACACTTACACTACACTAATGTATCCAACTAAGTTTTGATTGAAGGAAAATTGGGATAAACGTAAGAAATAAAATATAAAAAATTTTACGTAAGAGATAAAATATAAAAAAATTTCCTTACAAAGAGTGCACATTATTTGATTGTCAAAATTAGTTGTTCACGAGTATAGCACAAACGACAATGCTTCTACTTAATTCATAGGAGTAGAATCTGCAACAATTAATTCCTCCGCTTACAACTATAATGCTAGTTGTGAACTAACATAAGTCTCAAAGATAACATAAACTCTGAATACTAGTGTCACTAGGATTTCATAATTTGTGAATAAGTGATTGTCACTTTAATATAAGGGTTATACTTATAAACCTTCTTACACACATAGTAGATTTTGATTCATTTTTCTAATTAGAATAGTGTATAGTAAGAATATATCTATTAATCATAGATGAATCTTACTCATTTATTTAATATTTTGTCATTTATTTAATATTTTGTGTAAATGTCTTTATGTGTGTGATCTTAATTGTTTATTTAATATTATAAATAGAGAGCTTGTCTAACACCACATCACTATTACTTAAGTGATGATAATGTCATGTGATCTGACATAACTTTTATGTGATAATAATTATGTGTATAATTATCATTTCTCCTATATTTATAATGAACACAATGCATAATTTGTGTCACTCTTATATAGTTCAATATTAATTACATTACTACTCATGTAAATTTAGTAACAATATCTCATATTGACTTATTTCAAAATTGTCACGCATGTTGACAATCATACTTGATCTAGGGGTATGTAGATACTGTAAGAATAAGATTTGGTTCTGCATCTGACCTTGAGTTTTGATGATAATGTTACATGGGTGATAAGATAACAATTTAGTACCCTAATATGGTTTGTTTAGTCGGTAGCTTTTGCTAACATGTTTTGTGTCTGAAGAAATGATGTGTGACGTCATCAGATTCTAGACTCAATACACTAAAGAATACAAGATTGTGTTTCATGACTTAAAATGCGTCTTAAATCAACGGTTCTGAAATAACGTTAGTTTTATTGCTTTTAACTATGATTCTGTAGTAGAGCTTTTGATACGTCCTAAAGCTCTGAAGAATCCAAGTTATCTTGCCCAAGTTCTGAAGATTCTAAAGACAAGGTTCTATTGAACGAGTTCTGAAGATTCTGAAGATCAACAATTCTCTAAACCTATATATGAAGACTCTGAAGATAAGGTTCTGTTGAACGAAGTTTTGAAGACTCTAAAGAAAAGGTTATGAAGACTCTGAAGATCAAGTGCTGAAGACTCTAAAGACAAGGTTCAAGATGAACAAGTTCTGAAGATTTTGATGACATGGTTCTGGAGACTTAGTTTTGATCCTTCTACACATGTTCAAACCATTATACACCCAGAAGCCTCTGGAGAATAGAAGAGAATATCAAAAAAATTCACGTGAGTAGTAGTACAAGGTACAACACCATCTCGCCTCCACTGTGCTGGTTTTATGGCGCAAGGACAATACTTATGTACTAGGTTGTCTACCACTATCTCACTGACCGTTGCAAGAAGATAACTAAAATTTTGGTATTCTTATTCTACCCTTCAACAGATTTCTTTTTAGCTATAAAAGGAAGACTTGAAAGAACTGTAAACATTGAAGAACTTTGAATAAACTCACGCTTATTCACGTTTCTAAAACATTGCCAAAATAACTCTATGATTTTTCTAAAGCAAGGAGTTGTTGATCATTAACTTTCTAGTAAGGAACTTTTGTTCGTTAACTTTCTTAACATTGTCGTGTTATTATTTGTACTTCAATCTTGCTAAATCCGCTTGTAAGAAGTAATCTTGTAAACACAAAATTTATATTCAACTAT